ACACACACATTTGGAGCTGTTCGTATCAGTACAGCTTGTGTAACGTAAACATATTTTTTTTTACATTTAAACACTTAGATTACTTGTGAATTAGTTAAATGTTTGAAGGTGGCGAAACTGCCTGCACATTTGAGCAAAACGACGGAAGGCCTGATGACGTCACAAATGTTGCTGCGTGACGTCATTCAGGCGTGTTTACAACAATGTTTATTTATAGGCATTTCAGTCGAATCTTCTTCTGTATAGGTGCTCGTCGGCATTTTGATACTTTACTATTTGGTCGAATTATTAACAGAAACCCTTACTAATGTGACGAATTTGCCTTCACTGACGTTACAGATACGACAGTCTGTGAGGTGAATTGTTACAGATACGACAGTCTGTGAGGTGAATTGTTACAGATACGACAGTCTGTGAGGTGAATTGTTACAGGAACGACAGAATGTGAGGTGAATTGTTACAGGTACGACAGTCTGTGAGGTGGGTTGTTACAGATACGACAGTCTGTGAGGTGAATTGCTACAGGAACGACAGTTTGTGAGGTGAATTGTTACAGGTACGGCAGTCTGTGAGGTGAGTTGTTTTAGGTACGACAGTCTATGAGGTGAATTGTTACAGGTACGACAGTCTGTGAGGTGAATTGTTACAGGTACGACAGTGTGTTCAGAGGGTGTTACAGGTAAGACAGCACAAGGTAGTGGTGTTATAGGTAAGAGAGTACATGAGTAGGGATGTAACAGGTAAGACGTTTTGTGGGTAGGGGTGTTACAGGTAAGACAGTATAAGCTATAACATAGGTGGGGAGGGGTGTTACAGATATAAAGGGATGTGGGGAGGGGTGTTACAGGTAAGACAGTATGTGGGGAGGGCTGTTACAGGTAAGACTGTATATGGGTAGGGGTGTTACAGGTAAGACAGTCTGTGTGGTTGGGTGTTACAGGTAAGACAGTATGTAGGTAGGGGTGTTATAACATAAAGTTTTTCTGCACGTTTTGTCTTCTTGAAATGATGACGTAAGAGTTGATTAAAGTTTAACTTTGAAATTTAATAAGAGATAGCTTTTGACTTGACGGCGGGATATTCTGGAGTGTACAAAATAAACCCGATGTGTTCCGTTCAGAGTCTAGAACCTAACTGATTTACAATACAACATATCACAGTTAAATACATGTACGTACAACAAAGGTACCTGAGGTTTAAGTGACAGGTGTCGCTAATTGTTAGATCAATTACCCGTGGTCAGTGTCCACAAGGTAAAGGCTATTACACTAATCCTGTTGCGTAATGTTGCGTATTACTGCATACTTCCCACCTCTCACAATGAAAAAGTGTAGGCAATAAATCACTTGCTACCACAGTCCACTGCACACATAATCCCCTTTCAAGGCCAATCATGATTACATGACCATGAAAGGGTGTGTGCCCAGTGGACTGTGGTCACAAATGCTGTAAGAAAGGGGAGATAATCAATCAGTAAAACAATACAGGGGAAAGGATAAACTTATATAATAAGTTGACACATTTAAAATAAGAAAAAAGAAGAAGTTAAAAATGGTAATTCATGATTGATAAACAAACAAAAAGATTTCCTTATCACGTGAGAGGATAAGCATTTCCTGGAAAAGTTTATAATCTTTAGAAGCTGTTCTTTTATACAAAATTGCACATTCAAATATACCATTAATGAAAGAACTGGAATTCCTTAGGGATTGTTAAACCCTTATATTGTATGCATGAAAATGGTTTCAATATCCTGTACCTTTGCCACATCTTGAAAATTAAATTGAAAATGTAGTCAGAAATTCAACATTGTTTCCCGTATTTTGTTCCTATTGTTGAACAGACATTCCTTACCTTCCCTGACACTGGAGCTGGATATAGTAATGCAAAAACACCTGTATCCATTATGAAGGATACACTCAGACTGGGCTATTGAGAATAAAGACAATCTTACCTGGTTGTGATTATTACTCACACAGGTACATGTAAATTATCTGCAGTGTAGGGTAGATAAAAAGATTGCCCAGGTGAACATTTTTTACTCAAATTTTCTGTTTTGTTCGAGTTGGGCAACATGCAGTAAGCCAGTTATTGCATAATTTCTCGTCACTCGGGACTTATTACACCCTTGCTTCGCTCGGGTGTAATAAATCCCTTGTTACTCGAAAACCATGCAATAACCTTTACATGTGATGGACAAAAGTAATGAGTTATGAAAGTAAGTTTACAGAGAGTACGTACTTAGGGATATACAAACTTCACACATAAGTCTTATCTTAAATGTCACAAAGGATATATTGTAATTACAATTAAGGATAATGCCACATGTATATAGCCAAATTCTGTCTAAATGTCATATAAACGTGTTTTGCATTAATTCGCACTTGAGTTGTTAGATATGGACAATTAGAAATATACATTTAATAATAGATGGTAAGATTTAAGTTTTTCATGAATACGCAATTATTTACACAATTAATTTCAGCGCTAATTTATCACAAAATTTCTCTGTGATAGTTACATGTAAGACAGTACGTGGGTAGGGGTTTTACAGGTAAGACAGTACGTGGATAGAGTTTTACAGGTAAGACAGTCTGTGGTTAGGGGTTTTACATGTAAGACAGTATGTGAGTATGGGTTTTACAGGTAAGACAGTCTGTGGTAAGGGGGTTTTACAGGTAAGACAGTACGTGGGTAGGGTTTTACAGATAAGACAGTCTGTAAGGAGGGGTGTTATAGATAGAAGGGATGTTATAGGTAAGACAGTACGCAGGGAGGGGCGTTAGAAATAGAAAAGTATGTGGGGAGGGATGTTATAGCAAAGACAGTATCTGGGAGGGGTGTTACAGATATAAAGGTATGTGGGGAGGGGTGTTACAGATAGGAAAGTATGTGGGAAGGGATGCTATAGGTAAGACAGTACGTGGGGTGGGACGTTACAAGTAAGGCAGTCTGTGGATATGCGTTTTAAGGGGATATAACTTGCCTAGGGTTACAGCAGGTATGACCGGGTGTATTATATTACCGGCCTAGGGTTATAGTTGGTGTTGCCAAGTAGATATGGTATTACCGGCCTAGGTTTACATCAGGTATTGCCGGGTAAGAGTGATATTACCGGCCTAGATGAATTTAATCCTATCAAGACATCGGAAGGTCAAAATCTTGGATCATTTTTCTTTGTGATCACACACATCTTAGAGTGGGTAATTAAATCCGTATCGTAAACGTAGTGCTGTAAATCTTACAGCAACGTCGCTTGCTTGGTACAAAATACTGTTTTTTAGTTTAGGAGATCCCACAGGAACAGGAACAACGTTATCAATTCAAGGGAAGAATACTCCATGCAATTGCGTGTTTGCAATGTTTAGCCCATACTAGTGCCCCATTCTGGGGTACATGATCGTATGTCACTATGGAGTCTGCCAATGAAGCTTTGCCGTTTCATATTGAAGTAGTCATAAGTTACAGAAATAAAGTTGGGTCACAGTTACGTACGGAACAGCGTTAACTTAATCAGCCGCTAGTGGCACCGAATTAGATACAGTTTATACTAGTGGACGTGGACACATTAGCGTGCTACAAACCCCGTTCAAGTTTTGTTTGTAGTTACATTACTTGAGACAATTATACTGTAATATTGACCTTTGTGTATCAATATAATCACGATTTAGACAAAAAGGATATGACACAGCAACATGTCCTTATGTAAAGGAATCAACGGACATTACGGAAACTCACAGTAAACGACCTTAGTATTATTCGTGTATGTATCTCAAATCATTTTAAACTCAAAGGCAAGGTCAAGTACGGACGGCTACACACAAGTAGTATAACGTACGCTCTGTAAACAGAAACTTTAAGTTTTCATTTTGATATCCGTCCCGCTTAGCTTGATGACGAAGACCATGCCCCGTTTTCCACCCTTCATCAGAGGTGGTAAGCCCTGATCCCGTGTGTGCTGTAGTAGCGACTTGGCGTATCTCACTGTTGCGGGAGCGGAAACCCTGTTAAACAATATATGTAAGATATACAGCGCATTATCCTTGGGCCTTTTTACACTGCAGTATAGAAATATTTGAAGCACTTGTAAAGTGAAGGTCGGACTGTGATTCAGACGTGAAAATGTACAAGTTTAGTGAGGACACAGGGTAAGACAACGTGGAAGGCAATACGACTACCGATACGGCCATATCAGGTCACTCTATTGATCACAACACTGTTAATGTATCGAAGGCGTAGATGGATTAATAACGGTACCTAATGGTAAGTGTATACAGTATTTATTGTAGCTATGAAATTCTCTATTTTTTTGAAAGCTGTATGGCTGGTACAGTATTTGGCGTGGGAAAATATAGTATACCAGATACACCCAGTATAACGGTAAGGGTTTGTGTAATTATAAAATACCCGTATGTGTGTGTGTGTGTGTGTGTGTGTGTGTGTGTTGAGTCACTCTATACAATAGGATGAAAGATACATCAGACACCGTATCACACAGCACTCAACATGGGGAGGGCGGAGTGATTTTAAACTTATCCTGGATGGACACTCCAATGGTAGGTTTGTATATCACCAGACGTACCTATGTATGTTGCAATAACAACACCGTGTGTAAATTCTAAATTTAACTTAGAGATATAGGAATGGCAGTACTCTATTATCGGTATTTATAAACTGGCATACACACTGTCGAGCTAAATATCTCGGCAGCGTGGCTACCATGATCAGTTAAACAACGTTCCTCTGATGATATAGATCATACCTTGTTAACCTGATGGATATGTTGACCCATATGTATTGTGAATAGATCTACACACAAACCTAAGTACTCCACCATACATCTCAATTTGAACATTGGGTGTGCTATCTCTTTACACTCGTACTGGTCATATACTGAAACGTTTTCTTTTCATTACAGGCTGAGGGGCTAACAGACGAAGACATAGCAGGTAATAATTGTACACCTATCTACTAAAAATACAACTGGTGATAATTGTACACCTATAGACCTAACATACAACAGGTAACCACAGTATATCTATAGACCTAACATACAACAGGTAACCACAGTACATCTATAAACCTAACATACAACAGGTAACCACAGTACACCTATAAACCTAACATACAACAGGTAACCACAGTACATATATAAACCTAACATACAGCAGGTAACCACAGTATATATATAAACCTAACATATAACCGGTAACCACAGTATATATATAAACCTAACATACAACCGGTAACCACAGTATATATATAAACCTAACATACAACAGGAAACCACAGTATATCTATAAACCTAACATACAACAGGTAACCACAGGATATATATAAACCTAACATACAACAGGTAACCACAGCACACCTATAGACCTAACATACAACTGGTAACCACAGTATATCTCTAAACCTAACATACAACAGGTAACCACAGTATATCTAAAAACCTAACATACAACAGGTAACCACAGTATATATATAAACCTAACATACAACAGGTAACCACAGTACATATATAGACCTAACATACAACAGTTAACCACAGTACATATATAAACCTAACATACAACAGGTAACCACAGTACACCTATAGACCTAACATACAACTGGTAACCACAGTATATCTATAAACCTAACATACAACAGGTAACCACAGTATATATATAAACCTAACATACAATAGGTACAGTAACAATTGTTCATTGTTAACCTAACGAACAACAGGTAACGACATTACATCTATTGTTAGTCCTAAAATTAAATTCTAACGATGCAATCAATGTAACAAGACAAAGACAGAATGTGTTCTGACAGAATAACCGTCAGACGACCCCTGTCACCCATTCCCCTCGTCGCCATCTCTCCACTATCATAATTTATATCACTCAAAACGTGAACGTAAAGTTCTTAAGTTATCCTGCAATATAAACAATGTTTATGGTCGACACACCTTTGGACAAACAAAATCATAATAGACGTTCCCGAACATAAAACTTGATATTATTGTCAACACTGTATAATCAGCCATCTTATGTTACTTCCGGTATTCAACGACACGATTTTACAACGGGAAGTTTAAATTTCACACAAGATACTAAAGCCTGCTCTGCTCAAGCAGTTAAGCTAAATCACACACAACACAGTATTATATTTTACATAACTAGTCGTTTAAAAGCATGCCTTCATCAACAAGCTATGTAAATATACATTATCTTAAAAAAAATTATCACTAGAAACAAATGTCGGTCTTTCTGCTTCGAAAGAGGCTTAACTGTTGATTTCGACTATATTGGGTTGTCTGTTGGATCAATCAACGACTCGTCTACACACGTACTGAAATTTAGTAAATTGAAACCGTCAAAAGTGCAATCTGCCTGGTTAAATAGTTCGTTCTGGGCAGGTGCTCGGCGGCATGATTCAATCGTTTACACAAACTCCACAGCAACTGGTACATATTTTGTTTGACCTTGTTATGTGTCTCCTGACTTAATATCCACAACAGCAGCTGGTATGTGCCCTCACTATATTCACAGCAGCTGGTATGTGCCCTCCCCATCTCTTCAATAGATGGTATGTGCCCTCACTATCTTCACCACAGCTGGTATGTGCCCTCACCAACTCCACAGCAGCTGATATGTGCCCTCATTATCTTCCTGCTAGCTGGTATATACCCTCACTATCTCTACAATAGATGGTATATGCCCTCACCATCGTCAAAGCAGATGGAATGTGCCCTCATTGTCTTCACAGCAGCTGGTATGTGCCCTCACTATCTCTACAATAGATGGTATGTGCCCTAACTGTTTTCACAGAAGCTAATATGATCCCTCATTATCTTCACAACAACTGGTATGTGCCCTCACTATCTTCACGGCAGCTGGTATGTGCCTTCACCATCTTTACAATAGATGATATGTGCCCTCGCTATCTTCACAGCAGCTGATATGAGCCTTCACCATCTTTACAATAGATGATATGTGCCCTCGCTATCTTCACATCTCCTGGTATGTACCCTCACTATCTTAACGGCAGCTGGTATGTGCCTTTCACCATCTTTACACTATATGGAATGTGCCCTCACCATCTCAACAGCAGCGGGTATATGCCCTCACTATCTTCACTGCAGCTGGTTTGTGCTCTTAGCATCTCTACAATAGATGATATGAGCCCTCACTATATTCACAGCAGCTGGTATATGCCCTCACTATCTTCACAGCAGCTGGTATGTGCCATCACTATCTTCACAGGAGCTGGTATGTAACCTCACTAATTTCACGGCAGCTGGTATGTGCCTTCACCATCTTTACAAAAGATGATATGTGCCATCACTATCTTCACAGCAGCTGCTATGTGCCATCACACTATCATAACATTGAAACACAGTGAAGGGCGACGACGATAACATCTACTACAGCAGCCTTGTGTTTTCCTCAGAAAAGGATTTGTGTCCACTCACAGTCACATGTACAAGCTTTCTGAGATACATATGTTTGAATTGAGTTCCCATATCAACATAATGTATTTTATTTTTGTACACACTTATAGTATTAGGTATGTAAAAAAATCAAGGGCCAACTCTAGACGGACATTGAGCTTCCTGGTCGCCGACCCATCTTGTTTCGCAACACTTTAAGTAAACATTTATTAAAAAATCTGTTGTTATATGTGATTAAGCACGTGACTGTACAGATATCGGTGAGGATGTAGTTCACTTTGTCCGTCTCCATCCTCTACCAAAGCTCTATAAGCACGTGTAAACTCAGCAAAACTCCATAACTGTGTTTAAATTTGAAACTTGTCCTTTATACCTTTTCTTACTCAGTTGATTTATCATTTATTTATTCTTTTCGAATTCAATTGATTGATCAATAACATCTCAATTAAGAAAATAACGAAAATTGGCGGAAGTTGGCGCCATGTTTAGTTGTTATAATGATCAGAGAAGTTCATCCCCGTAATTTCACCTGTCATTTCCAGTGGTGTATTTAGGGAGATTCTCCTGAGCAGGTGGGAAATGTAATTAGTACTTCATCACTACATCAAATAATAGAGCCTTATGACGAAGTGTTACAGACCACGTGACTAACGGGTACACAGCTTACACGATTAGCCTAGTGTAACTGTCAATGTTAGTCTCGTCGTCTTACTAGATCGACTTACTTTAAATCTGGATTTTCTAGCCAATCATCAGATGGTTGATTGATCGTCCTTAAACAATTATTGTTATCGCTTTTTCTCAGAGAGTTCTGGAGGGATCTTTATCAAATGTCGTATGTAAGTTGCCCTTGGGTTTAGTTGTGCATATGTACTTTTGAAACTGATCGAACGAACGAAATGTCCGGGTGTCCGCCATCTTGGATTTTGTTAGTTAAGGTTTGTTATCGCTATTTCTCATAAAACACTGGAGGGATATATCTCAACTTTTATATGTTAGTTCCCCTCGATCCCCTTGTTAACACACTCCAGGCCCTAATTACAATTCATCCCTTATTGGCAGCATTTTGCAAATCGTTATGCAAAAAAGAAATTGGAAAACTGGCAAATGACATATGACATTACGAGGTTTAAGTGAATGTACAAGTTCCTGTTAAGGGTTTTCAATATGGGACTGGGTAATAAATAGTACCTGTAAAGAAAATAAAGAGCAAAGAAAGTAAAATATAATCTTTTGTAAATCTGATAAAGATCCTTTCATGGTGGGTGCCAAGATCCTTCCAGGATCTCTTATTTAAATTTTATTATTTTTGCGCAGATCCATCTTGACCACTCTGCACAATCGACAAAAGACGTTCGATGACATTCTTGACCCCTCTGATCACATCGTAAAGAACACACATAATACGTAGACATTCTTGACCCTTCCTATCGCAGTAATTCAATGACCTTCTTGAACCCTGTGATTGCACTATACGAAACGCAAGGTCGTAGACATTCTTGAAACCTGTGATCGCGTCATACAAAATGCACATTTGTTGACATTCTTGACCCCTCTGATCGCATCATACACGACACACATTCAATGACATTCTTTAACCCTGTGAATGCACTTTACAAAACGCACAGTCGAGACATCATACAAAGCACATCATGAAAGTATGCTCTATTTCGCGGATGAACTAGAAATCACACACAGCAAGCACTGTAGATTAGCAGCAAATCAACAGTACAAGACAAGGTCATTAAGTTTGCTTTATTTTCAAGAAGTTGACGAGCGGGTACACGTTCAGTACAGACCTGTTCCACTTTGTGGCCAGTTATTTAAAGAAACATGATATTTCCCCAAGTAGAGCTCTTTTATGTGAAGGTCACCGTTCTAAACATGTTATTGGTTGCAGTTTAAGAATAATGAGTGAAGTGGTGCATTACATATCACAATACATGGTAATTTCCTGATGTCCTATTGTCTGAATGCTTTTAAACCTATATATAGATAACTCGAGTTACGATAGCGTTCTTATAAGTCCCTTATCTTTAATGTCAGTTTCAGACAGAAAAACCACATCAACAACATTATTTTAATGGTCCATGCATTAACAAATATCTACTGTGAATATTCCACTAGCTTATAAAATTCAATATGCTTTCAATATTTAACAAACTGTCAAACTCCTCTCCTATTAGTTGATGTATCCAAACCATTATCATGTACTAAAACATGGACGAAAATCATTTAAATGAATGCATCATGAAAGATCGACGCTTGTGAGCACAGGTATTGTAATATGAAAGTAAGACGGCGATTCTATGTCCACTTGTTCGATCGCCACTGAGAGACATTATCATTCCATGTTTCTGAAGCGTCTGTTTATACTACTTTTACAGAGTACCGGGAGGTGTTCGATGTCTACGATAAAAACAAAGACGGTGTGATTGAAGCCAAGGAGCTGGAGAAGGTGATGCGAGATTTGGGACAGAACCCTAGCAAAGCTGAAATCATCGAACGTATGAGTGAGGGCGACTTCAACGGTAGGTATATATTACATCGTCTACTGCCGGTTGCTAATTTAAGAAATAATCAACATTAAATGCACATGAAAAAATGTTCGGAAAATACCATAACGTAGGCCTCTTCGACCTGATTTAATTATTTTTCAACATAAGGTGGCCTTTTGTCGGCCCTATCTTCATTGGACATCACTGCAGAGACGTGAAACCCATAGAAACCAGCATGGGTAATGATGCACTATAAAGCATCCCATGGATTGATGGACAATTCTTGCACGTCACCAAAGAAAAATGTAAAACACAATATGGTTTTCCTTATCAATGAATATGTGCTCCAAGCCTTTCTTGTCATTACTTCTGTATTCCTGACCCTAGACCACAATGCGTTACTCTCATTTATGGGAAACTATAATCAATCGCTTTTAAAGAGTCTTGCAGGACGTTAAGAGGGTTAGTTTATCGTCGGATGTTTCTGACAAGTGCTTTAGGACACAAATGCTATCTAGTTTGATGATAGACTCCAACTGCACCCAAGACAAACATATCTTCTTTCTAAGCGCATCAGCGATGAGGAGGAGGAGGAGGAGGAGGAGGAGAGGAGGAGGAGGAGGAGAGGAGGAGGAAGAGGACACCTTATTTTAGAAATACAGCAAACAGCTTGAAATAGTAGTTAAAAAATGTATAAAGCTTTGTTGTGGTAACACAGAAACCAGCAAGGACAGACTACTAGCGCATACATTGATGTCAAACGATTTATTTGATTTGTTCATTTCCATGGTATTTTCTAAATCTGATTGGCATTACGTCCATCTGGAAACAAGAGTGTTAGAAGTGACATTTATCGGAAATGTATAACGTTAATCTCAGGCCGAGTAGCCGTGATTACTCGTGTCCGTCACCTTGTCGCCAGCGTTTCTATCGATTGGAGGGCAGCATGGCCTCCGCGTGGACCCAATAATGTATCCTATTATAGACTACTAACAAGGTAAGTTCATGATCGGTCACGACTCCTCATCCTGTGTGTCCAGCATCCCCATCTATCCAGCCGCGGTAATGATTTATAACTTGATGGTTTTATTGACCACTGATCGGCGATCAAATAACTTAAAACCAAATCGACGGTACAGGAAACACGCAATACATTATGATGGCGTTTCAGTTGTCTTCCTGTCCGTCAGTTTTGGTAATTGCACTCCAGCCTTGCAACCAAATAACAAGATTTCAATCTCCGAAGTAAGCAACGCACGGATTTTCAGAAAAGTGTTTTCCCCTACCCAAATTACCCAAATAAACCAGGTACGGTATAAAGAGGTACTGGTTTGGCGTCAACCGTGTCTGCACTGGAACATGTAAAAACGGCCCGCTGCAAAACAGACCACTTATGCGCACAAAGCTCTGACGCAAGCACACATTACGAGGTATTTAACGAGGTGCCGTATGGCTAGTAGCAGGCACCCGATAAGGCGGCTCATGCAATATCCCGAAATAACCGATTGATGGCTAATAATATCAAATATTTTAAATGACTGTTATGTGTTTCAAATCTGCGTTAAGGTGCTTGTTTATCAAAAGCTCGCACTTTGTATGGTACGGAAACGTAGCTTGAATTTTGAGTCCCCATTTGAAATGAAAAAATTATAGAAATTTTCATAGCAAATCATCTGGAGCAACACCGCAGTTTAGATATACCAGTTACAAAACGGATTAACTTTCCGGTTGTGTTTGCTAGCCTAAGCACTGTATTCTTGGTATAAACAAAACGGATTAACTTTCCGGTTGTGTTTGCTAGCCTAAGCACTGTAATCGTGGCTTATACCTGACCTTTTTGTATTATTTTATACAGGTTTTTATTCATAGGAGAAGTATTATTGAACTAGTAAGAGCCAGATCGGGAATATCACATAAAACGTGAATGTTATCAATGGCTCTCCAAGCCGGAGTGACCTTGACTCGTTAAACATTGCATATATTTGCAAGACGTTATGTCACCGTGTTGGAACTATATCCTAATGATGTTACATATCCTAGCAAAATAAGTAATATAGTTGTACGTAGCAGTGCGCTGTGTGATGTGTTACATGACCGTATCGGTACCCAATACCTACCACACCTGTCTACGAGTTGTCTCGTTTTCTCCCGGTCATATTACCCTTAATCTTACATTTGCTGATGCTGCTGCCAATATTTCCCCCGTTAAGGCTCAGCTCTATGTAAAGCAGGCCACTCCTGGTAATGGTTATAACAATAACATACCTAAAATATAAGTACATACACTATCATGTCAACTTTCCTTCACGTGTTGAAGCCAGATGACTGATCTGCTTGTTACATCTAACCGTTTGATTGCAAGAGGTGACAACTATTTGAGTCACATGGAATCTCCATTTTACCCTGATTTTCGATATTGTTTTCCACTAGATACAGTAGTTAGTTTGGTAGTGTCTCTCCAGACACGTCTGTTAATCTTAGCTGAATCTCTCTAGCCACACTGGGAAGCCTGGTCGTGACCCTATCAACAGTGTTTAGCCTGATGATGTCTCTCTAGCCACACTGGGAAGCCTGATCGTGACCCTATCAATAGTGTTTAGCCTGATGATGTGCCGCTAGGCACAGTGCTTGGCTAGCCTGATGGTATGTCTCTAGGCACAGTGTTTGTCTAGCCTGATGGTGTGTCTCTAGACACAGTGTTTGTCTAGTCTATAGGCACAGTGTCTGGTTATTCTGATGTTATGTCTCTAGGCACAGTGTTTGTCTAGCCTGATGGTATGTCTCTAGGCACAGTGTTTTTCTAGCCTGATGGTGTGTCTCTAGACACAGTGTTTGTCTAGCCTGATGGTGTGTCTATAGGCACAGTGCTTGGCTATTCTGATGTTGTGTCTCTAGGCACCGTGTTTGTCTAGCCTGATGGTATGTCTCTAGGCACAGTGTTTTTCTATCCTGATGGTGTGTCTCTAGACACAGCGTTTGTCTAGCCTGATGGTTTGTCAATAGGCACAGTGCTTGGTTATTCTGATGTTGAGTCTCTAGGCACAGTGTTTGTCTACCCTGATGGTTTGTCTATAGGCACAGTGCTTGGTTTTTCTGATGTTGTGTCTCTAGGCACAGTTTTTGTCTAGCCTGATGGTTTGTCTCTAGGCACAGTGCTTGGTTATTCTTATGTTGTGTCTCTAGGCCCAGTGTTTGTCTAGCCCGATGGTTTGTCTATAGGCACAGTGCTTGGCTATTCTGATGTTGTGTCTCTAGGCACCGTGTTTGTCTAGCCTGATGGTATGTCTCTAGGCACAGGGTTTTTCTAGCCTGATGGTGTGTCTCTAGGCACAGTGTTTCGATAGCCTGATGGTGTGTCTCTAGGCACAGTGTTTTGCTAGCCTGATGGTGTGTCTCTAGGCACAGTGTTTGTCTAGCCTGATGGTGTGTCTATAGGCACAGTGTTTAGTTATTCTGATGTTATGTCTCTAGGCACAGTGTTTGTCTAGCCTGATGGTGTGTCTCTAGACACAGTGCTTGTCTAGCCTGATGGTGTGTCTATAGGCACAGTGTTTGTCTAGTCTGATGGTGTGTCTCTAGACACAGTGCTTGTCTAGCCTGATGGTGTGTCTATAGGCACAGTGTCTGGTTATTCTGATGTTGTGTCTCTTGACACAGTGCTTGTCTAGCCTGATGTTGTGTCTCTAGACACAGTGTTTGTCTAGCCTTATGTTGTGTCTCTAGACACAGTTTTTGTCTAGCCTGATGGTGTGTCTATAGGCACAGTGTCTGGTTATTCTGATGTTGTGTCTCTAGACACAGTGTTTCCCTTGCCTAATGGTTTCTCTCTAAGCACAGTGCTTGTCTTACCTGAGTGTGGGCCTCTAAGCACAGTGTTTCTCTAGCCTTATTGTATCTTTAGGCAGTGCTAAGATAGCCTGATGTTGTGTTTCTGAGCTCAGTGTTTCGCTAGCTTTATTGTGTATCTTTAGACACAGTGCTTGGCTAGCCTGATGTTGTTTCTCTAGGCACAGTGCTTGGTTAGTCTGCTGTTGTTTCTCTAGACACAGTGTTTGGCTATCCTGATGGTTCCTTAGAGGATACATTTGTTTAGGCTGGCGGCATCTACCTATGCACAATTGCTGGTCTGGTGGTGTCTCCCTGTGTACAGTTACTAGTCTGGTGGTGTCTCCCTGTGTACAGTTACTAGTCTGGTGGTGTCTCCCTGTGTACAGTTACTAGTCTGGTGGTGTCTCCCTGTGTACAGTTACTAGTCTGGTGGTGTCTCCCTGTGTACAGTTACTAGTCTGGTGGTGTCTCCCTGTGTACAGTTACTAGTCTGGTGGTGTCTCCCTGTGTACAGTTACTAGTCTGGTGGTGTCTCCCTGTGTACAGTTACTAGTCTGGTGGTGTCTCCCTGTGTACAGTTACTAGTCTGGTGGTGTCTCCCTGTGTACAGTTACTAGTCTGGTGGTGTCTCCCTGTGTACAGTTACTAGTCTGGTGGTGTCTCCCTGTGTACAGTTACTAGTCTGGTGGTGTCTCCCTGTGTACAGTTACTAGTCTGGTGGTGTCTCCCTGTGTACAGTTACTAGTCTGGTGGTGTCTCCCTGTGTACAGTTACTAGTCTGGTGGTGTCTCCCTGTGTACAGTTACTAGTCTGGTGGTGTCTCCCTGTGTACAGTTACTAGTCTGGTGGTGTCTCCCTGTGTACAGTTACTAGTCTGGTGGTGTCTCCCTGTGTACAGTTACTAGTCTGGTGGTGTCTCCCTGTGTACAGTTACTAGTCTGGTGGTGTCTCCCTGTGTACAGTTACTAGTCTGGTGGTGTCTCCCTGTGTACAGTTACTAGTCTGGTGGTGTCTCCCTGTGTACAGTTACTAGTCTGGTGGTGTCTCCCTGTGTACAGTTACTAGTCTGGTGGTGTCTCCCTGTGTACAGTTACTAGTCTGGTGGTGTCTCCCTGTGTACAGTTACTAGTCTGGTGGTGTCTCCCTGTGTACAGTTACTAGTCTGGTGGTGTCTCCCTGTGTACAGTTACTAGTCTGGTGGTGTC